CTTGTAAAGCACTTAGCATAGTGCCTGACTCATAGTAAGTGCTCAATAAATGTTAGCTATAATTTTAGTTATTTTTAGGCTTTTGGCTTCAGACTGCTTTTCTCTGGCCTCTATTCATTCATAGGACAAATATTATACAGCATCTACTGCATGCTGGATCTGGCTCCTAGGCATCTGGGGTGCACAGACTATATCAGAAGAGGGTCCTACTCTCTTGGAGCTTAAGGACAAGAAACACAGTGTATGATTGTTGTGAAGGAGCAATGAAGGGGACCACAGTAACCGCTATATAAAAGTACAACACCCAAGGCACTTGCCCTGCCTTCCGAGCTCCCAATGTCTGCAGGCAGACCCCCCCCTCAAGTCCTCAAAAATTCTTCGCCAGGGGCTTCTGAGGATCTTGGGCTTGTTCTCTCTGTCCCTATGAGGATGGGCAGAGGGGGCTACCCTGAAAACAACTGAATCTTGGCTTCCCAGCCTCAGCTCCGCAGCGAACTAGCCTCCGGGTTTTAATGAGCTGCCCCAGGTTAGAAACAGGACGTGACTGTGGCTGGCTCAGAACCCTGAAGATCTTATTAAAGAATCATCTCCCTTGTACTTTGGGCTGAAAAGCTCTTTCCAACCGAGGATCAAAGCAAACTTGACACACGTTCTCTCATTAATCTCCCATCCCCCTGGGGCAGGAGCAGATTGGTAGCTGTTCTCTCTGGCTCTCGAAGGGAGATGATGTGACATCAACGTGGTGTGGCTGGTGGAAAGACCTCCCCACCAGTCAGAGGCAAAGCAGAGACCAGGACCCAGGTGTCCTAACTGCGGCCATGCCAGGTGTCACCCTACCTGCTTCCCACCTCCCACCCCACACCCTCAGCACTGTCTCAGGAAGAAGGAAAACATCTCATTAGGCAAACAGTCGGCCTCACTGGCCCTCAGGAGACGGAGAGGAGAGAACTGTAAAGGTTAGGCGCACTCCGCTGCCAGTGCCCTTTTTAACTTCCTGCTTTGAATGTTAGGCTGCTCTGTAGCTTCAACTTAGCTAATACAGTGTAGACTCAGATGGTGGGACAAGGTACCCTCTGCCTTCACTTTCCTGGTCACAAGAGTGGGGTTCCTGGGAATTCCCTGGCGGTCCAGTGGTTAGGACTCCATGCTTTCACTCCCGAGGGCCGAGGGGTTCGATCCCTGGTCAGGGAACTAGGATCCTGCAAGCTGTGAGGCGCAGCCAAAAAAAAAGTGAGTTTCCCTGGGAGTGGGGATGTGAGGATGGGAGACAGGAATTCTGAGTGTTGAAAATTAGGTCTAGTCCATTTATCTGAAAGCGTTTGCAGCATACATAATGCTAGTTACATAAAAGGGATTATAATTATTATACAAACATAAGGGACTATTACAACAATGTGATCATGAGGGTGTAATATATAACATCATTCCAAGGCAGTATAGCAGGCTCTATGGTCAGACTGCCCGGGTTGGAAGCAGGATTCATCACTTACTACCACTGGGATCTTGGGTAAGTTGCTTAACCCTCTCTGTCTCAGTTTTCTCATTGAAAAATGAGTATAATAATAGTATCTGTCACGTGGGGTCGTGATGGGGTTGAAAGGAGGTGAAACGTGTAAGGTGCCTAGAACAGTCCCTGAGAGAGTGGACACTTACCTGTTATGTTTATTATTATGATGAGCTGATTACTGGGACAGGAATAGAATTAATTGCACACAAGTAAAAAGATGATTATTGGTTGACATCTCTCCTTTGTTTTGTGTGGGGAAGAAATTAAGAAGTTTGGGGGTGAAGGACAGGACTTTGAAGTCAACTCAATTCTGCCTCATTCCCCAAGGAAAAAATGAGTTGTTTGCTGGAGTTTTAGGTAGAAATCCCATGTTTCTTTGCTGAATGACCCTGGTAATTGTGACCCATCAGTGGGACCTCATCTTTCCTAGGAAAGCATTCATCTACTCCTATCCCCCAGGAACAGCCCCCTGTTTCTTACCCCTGTTAACATATCCCTAGACTTGGGCTGAACTTTTCCAGGATATCTGTGACTCCTGCATTGCAGAAATTCCATCTGTACCTTTGGTAGGCTGGCTTGAAGGTGAAATGAAAGGGCAGAGAGGTCTGAGGGGAATTCAAGAGAGAATAGGTAAATAAGCTTTTGGGATTACTACCAGGGCAATATTAGGAAATCTATCCATGTCACCCTCTACATTAACAGACTGAAGGAGAAACACTGTGTGATCATCTCAGTGAGTGCCAAAAAAGCATTTGATAAAATTTAGCACCCATTCCTAATGGGTAGTGGAGGGTGGGGAACTAAATACAGAAGAGCTAAAAATAAAAAGTAACTGTTACTGTTTGCAAACTATATCATCATTTAATGGAAAAACCTAAGAGAATCAATGACAGTCTATTAGAACTAATAAGGGTGTTCAACAATGTGGCCAGATACAAGATCTGCATACAGAAATCAGTAGCTTTCCTATGTTCTGTCAAAATGAATTAGAAAATGTAATTTTAAAAAGAGCTTATTGGGCTTCCCTGGTGGCACAGTGGTTGAGAGTCCGCCTGCCGCTGCAGGGGACACGGGTTCGGGCCCCAGTCCGGGAAGATCCCCCATGCCGTGGAGCGGCTGGGCCCGTGAGCCGTGGCCGCTGAGCCTGCGTGTCCAGAGCCTGTGCTCCGCAACGGGAGAGGCCACAACAGTAGGAGGCCCGCGTAAAGCAAAAAAAAAAAAAGAGCTTATTTACAATATAACAAAGACTATACAGTAACTAGTAATAAACCTATGAAGAAATGTACAAAGCTCATGTGAGGAAAACAATAAAATTTTACTGAAGATTATAAAGTTGTGAATAATGAAAAGAGATACGATATTCCTAGATGGGAAGACTTCATACTGTAAAGATGCCAATTCTCATATTAATCTATAAATTCAAAATAATCCCAATTAAAATCTTAGCAGGATTTTTCATAGAATCAGCTTCATAAGCTGATTCTAAAATCATGCACAAGACAAGATGCCCAAGAATAGCCAAGAAAAAGAACAATAAGGTGATATATTATAGAACCACAATAATTACAATGAGTTACGGGAAAAGGAATAGACATTTCAGTAGATCAGAATGGAGAGTCACAAAACAAGCCCATGTTTATATGAGAATTTAGTTATGTTAAGTGTGGCATTTAAATTAGTGGGGGGGGGGGACTTCCCTGGTGGCCCAGTGGTTAAGAATCCACCTGCCAATGCAGGGGAGACAGGTTCGAGCCCTGGTCCTGGAAGATCCCACATGCCGCGGAGCGACTAAGCCCGTGCGCCACAACTACTGAGCCCACGTGCCTAGAGCCCGTGCTTCACAGCAAGAGAAGCCACAACAGTGAGAAGCCCACGTACCACAGCAAAGGGTAGCCCCTCGCTCTCTACAACTAGAGAAAGCCCACGCGCAGCAACAAAGACCCAACACAGCCAAAAATAAATAAATAAATAATTTTATTAAAAAAAACAATACAGGGATGCCTATTATCATTCAACATTGTTTTGGAAGTTCTAGGGAATACAGTAGACAACATATGAAATATTTGGTATAAGTATGGAGAAGAAAAAGTAAAAAAAATTATTTTCTGATACATAATTGTATACTCAGAAAACTCAGTAAGCTCTAATAAGAAGCACTTAAAGCCAATAAGAGAGTTTGAGGGAATTCCTTGGTGGTCCAGTGGTTAGGACTACGCACTTTTCACTGCTGAGGGCCCATGTTAAATCCCTGGTCAGGGAACTAAGATCCCACAAGCCTCGTGGCACAGCCAAATAATAATAATAATAATAATAAGAGGGCTTCCCTGGTGGCGCAGTGCTTGAGAGTCCGCCTGCCGATGCAGGAGACGCGGGTTCGTGCCCCGTTTCGGGAGGATCCCACATGCCGCGGAGCGGCTGGGCCCGTGAGCCATGGCCGCTGAGCCTGCGCGTCCGGAGCCTGTGCTCCGCAAATGGGAGAGGCCACAACAGTGAGAGGCCCGCATAACGCAAGGAAAAAAAAATAATAATAATAATAATAATAATAATAAGAGAGTTTGAGGGTGGCGGGTATAAGGCAAATATATAAAAATCAATCATGTTTCAGGACTTCCTTGGTGGCACAGGGGTTAAGACTCCATACTCCCAATGCAGGGGGCCCGGATTCGATCCCTGGTCCGGGAACTAGATCCCACATGGGTGACATAACTAAGAGTTTGCATACCACAGTTAAGGAGCCAAGTAAGGAGCCCGCCTGCCACAACTAAGACCCAACGTAACCAAATAAATAAATAATTTTTTTAAGTCAATCATGTTTCTCCATATTAGCACCTGGAAATAGGGAAGGTATTCCATTCATAAAAGCAATAAAGTACTTAAGAATTGTATTAAAAGGACAATTATAGAAACTATCTGAAGATATAAAAAATACATGAACAAATAGAAAGGTAATAGCCATATTCTTGTATGAAAACATTTAATATAAAATAAATATGTAAATTTAATATAATTCCGATTGTAATCCCAATAGAGTTTTTTTTGGGGGGGGTGGTTCTGGGATGGGGATGGAATTGATAAAATGTTCTTAAAGTCGAATAGACTAAATGACTGAAAATAGCCAAGAGAATCATGAAAAAGAAAGCTGGGGTTGGGAGGGGTGTCTTGCCTTGCTAGATAAGAAGCAACTATAAAGGAATGGAGTGGAAACAGTGTGGTGCTGGCACAGGAATAGACAGATTAGTGGAACATAATAGAAAGCCCAGAATAGGCCTCTGAAAAAAATACAGTCATTGGATACGACAAAGATGGTCTTTCAGATGAGAAAGATATTTGTCAATAATTGATGCTGGCATCAGTATTCTCTTGAGGTATAAAATGGAGCTGAGCTGTTGAGGAGGAGGTGGGAGAAGGCCCCTGAGTGCTAGGCTGAGGGCACCTGGTCAGGCCTGGGTCAGATTGGTCCTCATCTCCATCATGTCTCTGCCCAGGTGTTGCCATGGTGATGGCGGTGGAAAACAGCATGGTGCGGGTCGTGGTGCGGGTGCGGCCCCCCACCCCGAGGGAGCTGGAGAGTCAGCGGCGGCCTGTGGTTCAGGTGGTGGATGAGCAGGTGCTGGTGTTTGACCCTGAGGAGCCTGATGGGGGCTTCCTTGGCCTGAAATGGGGCAGCGTCCACGATGGCCCCAAGAGGAAGGGCAAAGACCTGACGTTTGTCTTTGACCGGGTCTTTGGCGAGGCGGCCACCCAACAGGACGTGTTCCATCACACCACCCACAGCATCCTGGACAGCTTCCTCCAGGGCTACAACTGCTCAGGTGGGCCCGTCTCCCCCTCTGCTGGGCACTGGTTGAGGAGGGCTCCGGCCTTGCGTTCTCTGTGGGCCCCCCATTCATTCTTCTCCTGTGTGGGGACCACTCTACTGGGCCACGGGATACAATAGCAGATCAGGCAGGCAGGGTTCCTGTATTCGTGAGGCTTACAGTCTAGAACTGGGAGAAAACTCATCACAAAATCACACCCACAAGTGTGTGGTTTAAAACCAGGGTAAGTGATATGAGGGAAAGAATTGTGGGCCTTCCACAGAGGAAGCTACCCAGGCTGGAGAAGGCTTCCCTGAGGAAGGGATAAGCTCCCACCCGTAGTGGAGACCCCTTTGCCCTCAAATCCACAGGCCTACAGGGGCACCAGGAATGGACACGGAGAACTCAACAGCTGTGAATGTAGGGGATGTGGGTGGGTGGGAGGGAGCAGTGGAACCGCGCATGTGGAAGGAAGGAAAGGGGCTCGGGGAGAAGGGAAGGGCTGACCGGATGGAAATGCACTGGGGGAGCCCCTGGAGAAGGTGGATCTGGCCCTGCCGCCACCCGACTCCCTACTCTGTCTTCTGTAGTGTTTGCCTATGGGGCCACCGGGGCCGGGAAGACACACACCATGCTGGGAAGAGAGGGGGACCCTGGCATCATGTACCTGACCACCACGGAACTGTACAGAAGGCTCGAGGCCTGCCGGGAGAAGAGGCTCGAGGTGCTCATCAGCTACCAGGAGGTAGGGCTGTTTGCACCCCAGGACTGGGCGGCCCCATCTCTCATTCTCACAACCACCTAAAGAGGGGGTGGGGTGGAGTAAGCAGGAGCGGGGAGAGGGTGGTAGGGAGTGGGCAGACGGGGGCCCAGAGGGTGGACACAGCTCCAAGAGAGACCGCGTGTGAACTGACCCCACCTGTCCTACTCATCATGTGACATCATCCAGCAAAGTGCCACTCACCACGGCGTGTCTCATCATGCTTCCCTCACCCAGCAACTCAGCTCTACCCAGCGCCTAGGGGAGAGGCTTCCTGACCAGCCTCTCCCTCGGGTCTCTCCCTGGCTTCCTTTCTCCTCAGGTGTACAATGAGCAGATCCACGACCTCCTGGAGCCCAAGGGGCCCCTTGCCATCCGTGAGGACCCCGACAAGGGGGTGGTGGTGCAAGGGCTTTCCTTCCACCAGGTAAGGGGCTGGGCTCAGATGGGACGATCAGCCCCACTGGTCCTCCGGGATCCCCTCACCGGGCAGTTTGGGGATGTCCTGGATCCTGTTGGGGCAGTGGTGGTGATAGCAAGGGGGTAACATTGGTCCTGAAGAGCAGCCCTTGTGTTAGGGGAAAAGTCCCCATTGGGGAGACCACAGCCCCCTTCCTGCACATCTCCTCTGTAGCCGACCTCAGCTGAGCAGCTGCTGGGGATGCTGACCAGGGGGAACCGTAACCGCACGCAGCACCCCACTGATGTCAACGCTACGTCCTCCCGCTCCCATGCCATCTTCCAGGTGAGGAGGGGTCACAGGCCAGGGCCTGAAGCTGGAGCTCCTGGTGCCCAGGGCCCCCTCACCCCTGCCATCTGCCCCCAGATCTTTGTGAAGCAGCAGGACCGGATCCCAGGTCTGACCCAGGCCCTCCGGGTGGCCAAGATGAGCCTGATTGACCTGGCTGGCTCGGAGCGGGCGTCCAGCACCCACGCCAAGGGGGAGCGGCTGCGGGAGGGAGCCAACATCAACCGCTCCCTGCTGGCCCTCATCAATGTCCTCAATGCCCTAGCCGACGCAAAGGTAAAGCTGCAAGGAGCCAGGCTCCTCCCCGGGACAGCGACCCAGTGCCCAAGCCAAGGGTCCCTCCCTCCAGCCCTGGGCCAAAACCTATCAAGTCTAAATTTCCTGGTGGTCCAGTGGTTAGGACTCGGTGCTTTCACTCCAGTGGCCCGGGTTCAATCCCTGGTCAGAGAACTAAGGTCCTGTAAGCCCAGCAGCGGGGTCAACAAATCAAAAACAAAACAAACAAACACAAAAAAGCAAAGGCTACCGAGTCTAGCCTGGGTCTGTGTAGTCCAGACACTCACTCCACGCCCACCCACTGTCCCCAGGGCCGCAAGTCTCACGTGCCCTACCGGGACAGCAAGCTGACCCGCCTACTCAAGGACTCCATCGGGGGCAACTGCCGTACGGTGATGATCGCTGCCGTCAGCCCCTCCAGCCTGGCCTATGAGGACACTTACAACACCCTCAAGTATGCCGACCGGGCCAAGGAGATCAAACTCTCGGTGCGTGCCAGCTGGGACGGCCACCACCCTGGAGTGGGGGTGTAGGGGTGTCGGGAGAGCCCCCAGGCTGGGAGGAGGAGGGGACAGGACCCACTGGCTTCATCTGGTACCTGGAGCAAGTGTTCCCGCAAGGCCGAGGGAAGAAATGACATAGTCCTCGTCCTTAAAATATCACAGCACTGGGATGATTGAGGCAGAATCTTCTCAAGAGGGAGGCAATGGAAGGGAGTGGCCTAGTATCAGCCAGTGATCTTTGTCAGACTTGTTTTTAGCAGCAGGCCCATATTTTTGGCAAAACAACATATAACACAGATAAAAGCAGAGTTGCCCGGTTTCCCTCGCCTCCTCCAGGGAGCCCCGGTGCTCCAGGAGCCGCTGCGGCAGAGCCCCTGGCCTGCAGAGAGCATATGGGTCAGGGAGCCGGGGTCTCGTGTTCAAAGGCAAGCTCTCCTCTTGCTGTGCTAGGAGAGCCACTGGCCTCCCTGTTCCCTCAGTCGTGAGGGTGAGTCTCAGGAATGTGAGTGAGGTGTGCCTAACGCGGTGTCTGGCCGCTGGAAGTGGTTGCCGAAAGCTGCTTTGAATGAACAAACAGATCCCTCCCCTGTGCCCCCATCTCAGCTGAAGAGCAACGTGATCAGCCTGGACTGTCACATCAGCCAGTACGCCAGCATCTGCCAGCAGCTCCAGGCTGAGGTGAGGAGCCGCCCCGGGAGCTTGGCCTGGAGGCAGGGCGCCTGGCTCGGGGGCAGGACGGGACCGCCGGCGCACGGCCAGGGCACTCTGCCTGCCCCCTGCCTCCTGTGCTCACCCGGCGCTCTGAGGGGCTGGGCTGCTTCGTTCCAGGTGGCCGCCCTGAGGGAGAAGCTCCGAGCGTACGAGGCAGGAGCCCAGGCCCCGCAGCAGGACTCCTCGCAGCCCCCCAAAGTGGACCCTCCACATCAACCGTGAGTTCTGCTGCCCCTACCTGCCCCCATCCTTTCTCCAGCTTCTGCAGGGTCAGGACTCCTCACTTCTGTTCTGGCATCTGGGGTTTGGGGTTCCTACTCACTGCCCGGCACACTGACTGTCACCTAGAATGGTCTATGTCAAAGGAGTAAATCACACCCCAGCCTATATAAGCAGCATCTACTCTTCAAAAGAAGGTGCATTTAAGGGGCGGGTGTCATTGTTTCCTAAACCAGAAAATCCCTGACTCCTTCTCCCATGCTCAGCTACTGCCCTCTTGTTACCCAAGCATCCACCCCTTATGGACCTGGAGCCACAGAGACCCTGCTGCCTCCCTGATTTTCCCACCCGCCCCCGCTTCCCGCCGTTCAAACCTCTCCTTTCCCCCTTAGCCTTCCCAGCTGCCCCTCGCCATCCCGCCTCCCCAGCCCTCCCTGCACCCCAGAGCTACGCCCAGGGTCGGCAGTCCTTCAAGAGGAGAGCCTGGGGACAGAGGCCCAGGTGGAGAAGGTCGTGGACGGGAGCTCTTCAGAAAGGGAGCAGCCCACAGAGGACCAGGACGAAGGCCTGGCTGAGGAGGTAAGACTTGGAGCTGGTAGAATATTGAAAGAAATGCCCCACCCCCAACTCACAGGGTCCCTTCAGTTCCAGCTTCTCTACCTGGACGTCTTACACCTCAGTCATTAGGAGGCTTTCCGACCCTGAGCAGGGAGAACTAGTCTGTCAGATCCTGTGTGTCTGGAAGTGGGGAGGCTGAGTGTTAACGGAAGGGGAGCAGGGAAGGAGCACGGAGACCGGGAGAGAAAAAGCCGCTACCAGGACCTGATCGTTCCAGGAGCTGTCATTCCCACTCTTGGAGGAGGGACGGGTTGTAGGAGCTGCTCACGTAAAGCGAGGGAGCCTGTCCTGGGCCCTCGACCTGTGACTCCCTTCCTCTCTAGGTTCCAATCCAGGTGCCAGCACAGAACCTCAGACACCCATTGCCCGGCTCCCCTGACCTGACCCTGCGGCCCAAGCCAGTCGTGGACCACCTCCCACCACAGAACCTGGGCAGTGACCGTTCTAAGCAGTAGGTATCTTCTTGCTCCAAGGTGGGAGGTGATGGGCTTCTGGCCTCCTGGGGTGGGAGTTGGTGCTAACTACGTCACAAAAGCTCTGTTTCTGCTCTAGTTAAAGAGGCAAGTCTCTTCTCATCAATATTGTCCCTTACCTGCTGTCAACAATTTGATATTATCACCTACTCTGTTTATGTAGCATCCTCTCTATTTATTACTCCGTGTAGCTGGCAGCCCAACAGGAGGGAAGCAAAACACCGAATTCCATCCAGACAGCTGGCAAACACCGAGCTAGGGCAGGGCTGCCTGGGCTAGTGCTTTGCTTTCCAGTCTGGAGTCCAAGCTGCCTGTGCTCAGCAAGGAGACAGCTGCCAGGAGAAGCTGGGCAGCAGCTGAGCAAGGGACAGCTTTCCTGAGTCAGGTGTTCATCATGTGTCTTCATCAACAGATTGACTGCTCACTTCTCTGAAGTAAATACAAACCCAAAGAGAAATGGCTTTTGGACCATTCTTTCCGTGCTTAATAGAGAGGTGCAGCTAGTATTTTCTTCCTTGGCCCCCAGAACATAAATCTCCTGCCACTTAGCTTTGCTGCTGCCAACCCTACACCTCCCTCCCCAGCACGCTTCACGCTAAGCAGTGTATTTAAAGCTTCCGGACAGAAGGGCCTGTTTAATTTTATTTCTTGTTGGGGAGTACCTGTTCCCGACTCAGCAAATAATGCTGCAGCCTGAATAATCAGCGGCTCATTATCTGCCTCCTGCTGCCGACTCCCCGGGGCCCTGGAGTGGCAGGGATGCACTGGCGGGATGTCCCCTTGGCCCCCAGGGAACAACCATTGACTCCCACTGATGACTCAGGGTCTCTCTGCCTGGAGTCCCGCGTTGCTAGGACACCAGGGTTCTCATTTCTGCTTTGCTTCTGATTTTGTGGTTTCTGACAAGTTGCTTCAACCTTGGCTGCGATTTGGGCATCATGGTCCTTGTTTTCCTTACTTCTTAGCGTTAGTAATAGATACTAATAAACTGTGATGGAAGACCCCAAGTGTCAGGGGCTGCAGAACATTCTAGATCTTCTCCATGCTTGAAAACAACCTAACAACCAGATCATCGAAAATAATTTTGCTTTGGCCTTAGAGTTTAGAATCTTAGACCACCAGGGCACTGAGTAGATCTTAGTATTTCCAGTTCAGTGGTTTTTCGGAATTTTTTTTTTAGCGGCAAAGCCCTGTCTTCAAATGAAATCTTATGCTGAGGTCTGGTATGTAGAACAGATAAAGCAGAGCTGTTCCATTAAAAATGTTCTCTGATGGGTTTCTTGAAACCTGAATTGAAAACCCATGATATAGACTGACTCCCCGTCTGCGGGGGCTACACGGCAAGAGGGACGGGGCCAGACCTGGGTCATCTGACATCCAGGCCAGTGGCTTTCTCCCCAGACTCCCACTTTTCTCGGTAGTCTAATTTTCATATAATGTGTGGCTCAGGCAGATATAGAATGAGTTTCTGCTGTGTTCTTTTTAATTTATATCCTGCCTTCTTTCAAAAAGGCCTTGAGGCTGCTTTATAAAATGAGTTTGGGTTCCCTGAGCACACACTGAGGACAGAGGAGGGGGCTCAGAGATGTCCAGGCAGGTAAATGCTACCCAGGGATAAATGACTGGCCATGAATAATCCCCACCGAGATAACTGTTTATCCTTTTATCATGGGTGTGCCTCACAGAAGGAAAATTTGCTTTCTTAGAATCTAAATTTACAACATCAATAATCACATTACCCTCGTAATTTCCTTTATTTTATTTTTTACATATATATTTTAAAAATAAATTTATTTATTTATTTTTGGCGGCATTGGGTCTTCGTT